CTTTTTAATGTTAACTTTATCTAAAGGAAGGCATTTCATGCTCAGATTGCATATTTCAGTCTTGCAAATATTTTGTATCAACTCCTGGAAAGTTGTCTGCATTTCTAAAGGGTCATCACAGGTCCACCTTGGTTTTCTAATACCCATGTTACAATTAAGATGATTTTGTTCTAAATAAAACATTTTATGGAAGGGCCGGACCATCTGGTCTATAGACACGATGAAGAAATCATTTCCCTTCAGGTTCCCATACTTCCCGTAAATCTGTTTTATTTAGTAGCCTTATACTTTGCCTCATTTGCTCAGAGTAAGCAGTGCACCAGCTACTCTCTGGAGTAGTTTTCCAGAGACATATAGACAGACAGGAGAACTGGTTTTCCCATTATGTTTTGTGTTTCATGAACAAGTCCATCTTTTATTGTGGTCAACTGAGGGCTTGTTTGCTATGTTTTGAGGCAATGTTATTTGGGAATGTGGGGAGTCAGCCGCCCCCAGAGAAGGAAATATTAAAAGGGCAGAAAAATATATTTCCTCAAAGGATCTTAAAGAGGCAGAAAAGCATGCCCAGTTTTTCTTAATAGCCCCAAGACTCTCTCCCCCAAGCAGAAACCAGCTTTGTAGAAATGCAGATGTGATAATCCATTCAGGAAGGTTGGAGCCCTCCAGCTAGAAGCTTAGGAAGACAAAGATACCTAAAATCTACATACCCCACCCAAACTCTAAGACAGGACATAATAGGATTAACCCACAGATGCCAAAGGGGCACACTCAGATCAAAGTACATGACACAGGAAATACAAAGCCTGAAATAGGAACAGGAAACAAGCTCAAGAACCCCAGAAGTATAAAAACCCACTCACTACATGTGCTCGATCTCTTTCTTCCAGAGCTATCTTTCTGTCTGGCTCCCCTCTTCAATAAACTACAACCTTCTTTCTAAAGCAGTCGCCGTGTTGTTTATTCCCGGCTTGGACTGAATCCTGATGAAGACTTTTTCTTCTACAGGAAAAAGAATAGGAGCAATTCAGGAAAGCTAACAGAACTGTGAATGTCTTTTTTAATAAAGTGTACTAGGTCTTACCTGTTCTACTCTTTAATCTCACATTAGATTAATCTATTAAATATGTGTATTCTCCTTTCTACGTTGGATTTATAAATCTGTATACCTCTGTATTTTTTTTAATTTTCTATTGATTTGACCTACTTACATAGCCGCCACTCCACTCCCTTTCAGGATAAGTAGTATCATGCAAAGCACAGGAAAAGTGTAAGAAATAGAAAGCAAACAGAATTAAAACCATGAGACAGAAGGTGGGAGAGTAGAAAGTGCAGCTAAATCTAATTTATACCAGTACCTTTTAGTATATTTCTCAATGCCTGTTTATTAGACTTATATGATTACCAAATCAGAAAGATACAAGAATATATCTTTGTATGTTTTTGGAGCTCACCATTATTTTTACCACATCCATATCTTGCATCATATATTGGCTTTTTGTTCATTTCACAGGCATATTTTTGAAAATCTATCATTTCCATCCACTTAACAATTGTCTCCATCTCCTCCTTCCTTTCAACCCAGTAATTCTTCCTTTGTATATTTGTTTGCAATATGATCCTCATTCTGTGTAATAAAAAATGCATTGAAGAACTGAGGAGATTATCCTACGTTCTTGTCTAATTCCCTGCTCAGAATCAAACCATTTGCTAAACATTCTCACAAATGCTCTTCTTACATCCATAAACTCCATATAATGCCAGGCATTTTACAACTCAAACCTATTTACTTTATCATACGCTTTCTTTAACATGTTCAAATATTTCCCTGCTGAAAAGCAAAGCAGTCTAGAGCTATACAGGCATCCTGCCAGTAATAAAGTCACACTGCATTTCCCTAGTTTTGCTTGTTATCAGTTCTTTCAATCAGTCTCTTGGATCTCTTCTGAGGCATACTAAATTATCATTACTTTTGTAATTATTTCTTCCTCTCACTGTATATCCTACCTATACTACTTGTCCTGCATCTTTCTTTTCAGCATGAATGTATGGGGAAATAAGCCTCCCTGTGTACAATTTTTGACACAACTGTTGCAACATCCCCATGGTCACATAATCAAAGTTCAGATGCTTGACAACTGACTCACATTTATGACGGTGCAACCTTCTGACAAGAAAAGTCAATGGAGAAGCCAAATTCATTTAACAACCATGTTACCACTTGTGATTCACTTAACAACTGTGGCAAGAAGAGTTGTAAAACAGGGCAAATTCACTTAACAACTGTCACACTTAACAACAGAAATGTTGGGCTCAATTATGGTGGTAAGGTGAGGACTAGTTTAGCTGGAATACTTAAGTTGGATTAGGGGGTCCTTCACTGAGTTGGGGCAGGATGTAAATCCTATTCAGTAAATTATTAAATCATTTCTATTTCTACTTTGCTTTTAGCAAGCTGTTGAAATGGTTATTTAAGGTTTACTACTTGGATAGATTCTTTAGGAACTTGGCAAGCAAGCTGCTGAGGAGAATATATCAGTTTTCTGTCAGCGTAGTGCTAATTCTGATCTGTTTCAGTAATATGGCATGTGTTCAGTTCACACAAAAATTGACTCGCTTCTAAAATATCTGTCCCTTGTTGATTTTCCAGGTTTGAATCATGAGAATAATGAAATCCTGGAGTCCAAGGGCCCAATATTTTATTCTTTCAAGAACCTCCAGTGTCACTGATACCTTGGTGTATCAGCAGCTTCCTTGTGTTGATGCTTTGATGTCTTCCTGAATCTAGTATTATGGACTGCAATCTTGCTTTGTTGTTTCCTTAATTGAATTCTGCTTACAATACCTACTATTTTCTTAGATATTATATCTCTGCTATTATTTATCATTATACAATGCATGCACTGGCTATTTTTTAGATTATATCTTTTGCTTCTGCTTTCTATACATCATTCTTGCATCTTATTTACATATTGTACCATTTTTTTTTCCATTTATAGATGTGAATCACATGTCTTAATTCTGTCTGCTTATAAACAGCTTTCACAGCAGTGAGAATAGTAGTATATTGCACCAAAGTAGAGTTCCTCCGATTCTTTAAAGATTAGCTTATTTATTATGAGGTTGCCTTTCATTGACTATAATCTGTTTTGTTAAATCCTTGAAGTATTATCCTTTAAAAGCAGGTGGGTGAAGATGGTTCAAAATGGAACCAAAATGTAATGAAATTACAGGTTTTTGATAATATTATTTAACAGTTTTCTTGTGCCTGGGTGGTCTATAATTTTCCATTATTGAGCAAATTGAAAGTTGAGTTCACACATCTAAAACTTTCCAGATGAGAAAGACTTCGAAAAGTAGAACATATTCTGTGTTAGCGTTCTCTTATGTGTGAATATAGGTTATTTAGAAAACTGCACCCCATTAGCAAGGATTATTAAAAAGGATATAACAGCCAACAACTTTACTAGATACTATTTTATTCAAGCACTGGGTTTTGGCTATATTTTCTCCATTAAGTTCTACACAGCTTTAAGAGGTTTTTTTTTTTAATTCCTCACTAAACTTCTAAAAACATTGAGTAGGAGTTGATGAATCCTTTGTAAAAAAAAAAAAAAGAGGCCTAAGTAGCTAGACAATGCAGTGATGCTCAGACTAGCTCTTTACTTCCTGAGATGATGCATAAATATAATGCAATTTGTTTGTAGCTGGGCTTGTTGATTGATTTTTCTTTCATGAATCTTTCCTTAGCTTGTTTTAGTTTACTCTGCCTTTGATTTATATTTAAATGCATTATTCTTGTCTGCCACCATTTGTTGGAAATGTAGAATGCAAATATAAAAACCATATGTTTTATCAAACTTCATGATACGTAAATGAAATAGCCTTGTTTCAGTAATTTCTGCAGTTTTTCAGTCAGTCAGTCCTTTTTCAGAGAGACAGATATGACTGTTTTCTCTTGGGGGATGGAAAAGGCATATGGGATGCTTTGCAAGTTCATAATTTGCAGAATTTATTACAGCCAACAATGCAGTTACATGTTTGCATTATTTTTAAAGGGCCAAAACTTTATGAGGAAGCTAGTTCATCAAGATGTTCATGATTTCAGCGGCTATCCCATGAAATTCTGGGCATTTTTAAAATTTTAAATTAAATCATTTTTAAAGTTGTTTCTTCGTCCCTATGAAATTATGTGAAATCATGTAATTTTAGGAATGTCTTTCTTGCTAAGTGATCCATGTGAAAATAGTGAGATTTTGTGCCACTGCAGTTGATTGCAATTCAACTTCAGCAATTGCAGAAGATGCTGGATTTGATCTCCATACAGTAGCAATTTTTGCCATGCTGACTTTGAAGTGTGATTGCTTTATGATTGTTATTCTTTGTCAAATTACTTTCAAGAAGCTTTTTAATTTTACCCTGAATTTTTGGTCTTCGACCCTACAGCAAACAAAACAAACAATGTGATATTGTTCACTCACTGCAAAGAGTTGCTGACTCTTGCTATTAAATTATTTTATCTGCCTTTTCTGCTGGATTGTGATTCATTACTCATAAAATTTAGATACTAGCTACATTCCTGATTTGTTTTTTTAATGGCTGTAAGGGCCCCTAATCCTCAGAATCGTATTATAGGCAGAAGATGAACTGGTGTTCTCTTTTTGTCTTTATCGGTCCTCCTCATAGTTTATTGATAGCTACTGCTTCAGCAAATTGTGGATTTGGGATGAATTGGAAGAATAAGGAATAGAAGTATAAGCAATGTCTTAACTTGTTCATAAAATAGTTTACTAATTGTTAAATATAAGATTATAGCATTGTTACCATCTTTTAAATGTGTTTTCATTTTTCCTGTTTCAATGAGTGTGCTACTCATATTGTGAAGTTTTTTTCCCCAAATAGTACCAAATGATATTTATTAATACAAACTCCAAATGCAAATGTGAGTTCTTCATGTACTCATGTAATTTTTTTTCCCTTTCTCATCTTTTCTTAATCTCCAGGACAGAGTTTGGGATATGGATTTGTGAATTACATTGACCCTAAGGATGCTGAAAAGGCAATCAATACTCTGAATGGATTGAGACTTCAAACCAAAACTATAAAAGTATGTAAACCTTTGAGAGTAAAATTAATGCTAGAATAAAATAGCTTGAGTAACCTGTCCTATGTATTTCCAGAAACTATATATTTTGGGAACTAATTATAATTTGTTCACAAGGTATTGCCTTTGTTCGCTGGAGCTTACACAGGTAGTTTGCATCTATTCATAATCATATCAAAAGAAAATCCCAGTATCTATCAAGTTATGCGATACTGTATTAATATTGACAATAATATAAAGCACTATATTTAAGACTTTCCTGATAAATGTTCCCAGCAGCTGAATTTTCCTTCTTTGAATTCCCTTGTGCATTGTCTCATGATTTTCATAGACAGAAGAGTTCCAAATAAATTCGGGTTTTTTGCCTTGCCTGAGGGCTGCAGGAGGCATGGCTGATTATGTCTTTGGAGCAGTCATTGAAATTTGCTTGTTGCAGTGAGAGAGGTTTGGAGGTGACAAATGGGGTGGTTGGGGAAAACTTCTAGCCTATGAGCCACAATCGTTCTCCTCTTTCCTAAAATAATACATTGATTTTCTTCTCATTTGAGATATACTGTGGATTTTAAACAAAAAAAGGTATGGGGAAAGTTAGATCATCCTCTCATTGGTATCTGAAATCACAGCTGGCTATATCCTCCCTTAAATCTGGATTTTGGAGTCCTTGCTTTTTTGCAAGCCAATATTTTTACTCATCACCTTTCCTACCTGGGGCTAATGGAGATTGGAATCTAACATGAGGGCCAAGTCACCATCAAGTCACACAGAAAGCATGTAATGTAAAATTGTTGAAATAACATTTTACACATGTTTCTCAATCAGTGAAATTCCATAATCAAAGGCATTTCTCCTCCCCCCCCCCCGGAATTACAAGTAATCCTCGACCTACAACAACAATTGAGCCCAACATTTCTCTTGCTAAGCGAAACACTTGTTAAATGAATTTTGCCCTATTTTACGACCTTTCTTGTCACAGTTTTTAAGTGGGTCACTGCAGTTGTTAAGTTAGTAACACGGTTGTTAATTGAATCTGGCTTCCTGTTGCTTTTTGCTTGTCAGAAGGTCGCAAAGGGGGATGACATGACCTTGAGACACTGAGTCTCATGAGTCAGTGTCTGAATTTTGATCACATGACCATGGGAATGCCGCAATGGTCATAAGTGTGAAAAACCATCATAAGTAACTTTTTTCAGTGATGTTGTAACTTTGAATGGTCACTAAATGAACTGTTGTAAGTTGAAGACTACCCATGCTGCATTTTCTCAGGGCCAGGTTGTGGGGGTACATGTGGTGGATCGAACTTATGTAAGGAATGGGTATAGATAGATAGATAGATAGATAGATAGATAGATAGATAGATAGATAGATAGATAGATAGATAGATAGATAGATATAGATACACACACACACACACACACACACACACACACACACACACACACACACACACACATATATATATATATATATATATATATATATATATATATATATATATATATAAAACCATATTTAAAACCAGTGAGCAAACACGAGCACCAGGGAATATAATAAAATAATTTATAATTTATATGGTTTTAAATATGGATTTACCTAGGGATCACATTTTTAAAGAAAATTTTAATATATATATATATATATATATATATATAGATATAGATATATATAGATATATATATATATACACACACACACACACACATACACACACATACATACACACACGTGTGTGTGTTGGCTGGAGCACCCAGTCTACCAAGTATAGGATAAATCAGTCTGTTCTGCGTTTCGCTCCAATCTAGGAGCATGTTTTGTAGACAGACGTCATATACTGTGAACACTGTAAATTCAAAATGTTTGTGGCTGACAAAGAGTTAGTGGGAGACTAGTGTAGCTATTTCAGAGCTTGAAATAGCTATACTAGTCTCCCACTAACTCTTTGTCAGCCACAAATTTTTTTTGAACACACACACACACACAGACACACACACAGACACACACACGTGTATATATGTACCTGTTCTCTTTTCGGATACAGTTTTTTCTTGCTTTTGCTCTCTCCATCTATCTCCCAAGTTCCAGGGAAGAAAGAAATGGCTCTGGCCAAAATCTTGAACTGATTTCTTGAAGTCAACTTTTAAAATTAGTCTAAGGGCCATAAATTATCCATTCCTGCCTTAATCTATAAAGCATGTTAATTTCCTATAGGGGTAAGGCTGGTCAGGTAATTCTTTCTGAAGTTTTATTTATGTAATATTTTAAAACTGACCACCATTAATGTTTATAGTTATTTTTCATCAGATTAATTAAGTAGGTTTTCTTCCCACCTCCTGGTATTTAAAAGTTATAAATGCATTATCGTGAAGGAGTGAGTAAGAGGAATTTGAAAAGTTCATCCCACTCTCTCTTGTTGGGTTTTCATTGCAACTATTTTCTCTGTGGAAGAGGCACACAATGATCAGAGTTAAACAGTTATTTGCCTCTTTGGGAGTTAATTCTCTAAAATTTGGATTTTATTTTAAGGAAAGTTAAATATATTGACAAACACAATACATGCCTAAAAAACCCTAAAAAGCATATCGTAACTTAATGAATTTCCACATGATGCAGTCTATTTTACTAGCAGTTGCAACAACAGCTCTTTCAAAATAAATATACACATTTCATATCCTGTTGAACAGACTTCTGTGTTTATTATAAATTTTTAAATGTACGCATCCCTTCTTCAGTGAGTAAAATGCTTAATATAGAACTATCGCTAGGAACAATAAGACAGCTTTGCAAGAAAATAATACTATACTCTTAATGTGTATATATTTGCATATATGCATGTGTGTGCTCACATGTGTCACGTAATCATAGGTAGATGAGAGTTTTTAATGGCAATTTTTTTATTAGCGAATGTGTCAAGAGAACTGTAAAATATGTATGTATTGTATAAAAAAACCCCTTTAGAATATCTGAAGGAAATGAAGTGTGAAGGTGAGGAAGAAGCACCTTCAGATCCTTTGTGTTTTGTTCTTTCCATATCATAGAACATTGATCCTAGCAAGTGGCAAAATGAGATCCTATTTGGAAGTTTAATTAAAGTGAGTGAATTTTATTGATGCTATCAATCAGCAGAGATTGAGTGAAAGGGCTTGGTGCCAAATCATTTAGTGTTCTTGACAGGGTAATTAAATACCACAGAACTGTACTCTCAAGATAAAGTGAAGAGCCTTTTGCAGATGTGATTCTTTTGTTGGGACAAAAGGAAGGTGTTTCCTCTTCCTAAATAGTGTATAGGAAGACTTTAAAAATGGCCGCTTGTTATTTATTTTCTGTATACAAATTGCTTGATTTTTGTCAGCTTGCATTTTTGAAGGGTTTGCATAAATACTAGTATAAAAATAATTTTTAAATAAAAAGACTTTCAGAATGCAGGGTAAGTTAAAATTGGGGGGGGGGGGTGTTAGCTACCCCTATGTTAAACTCAAGCTTTTTGAAAAACATAGCAATATTAAACCTCACCAGTCCAAACTCCAAAATTGTGTAATTTTTAAGAACATTCATTACAGGAATAGGCAGGAGTGTTAAGTATTGTCTGCTTCTGATATACCTAGTTAACCTGATTGTTGAATATTCTGTCATTATATGAGGCTTACAGAGAATGCTAGAGTTGTCAGATTTAGCATATCAGAGTTTGTTGGAATAGGCCAGTCAGACTTGAACAGGAGACCAGTGCAAATAAATCAGACATAGAAAAACAAAATCTGATGAACAGAACAGCAGATTATCTGATGAACAGAATAGCAGGAATTGGAATCTTGAATGCCTCTGAGTGACTGAAGCTTTTACCTAACAGGGCTATAGAAATGTGTAGGTCTAGTAATGCATTAAAGTCAGTTGAAGACTTCATGTAGGTAGCCATGATACACAATGTGATTTACATTCTCTTCAAAAGCTATCTTAACTGTGAAAGGCGCATTGTCTGATTTTATAGTCACAGATTTAGTCAGACCTATCTGTTAAGGAACAGTACGTCTACATCAGGCATGTCAAATTGCCAGCCCATGGGCCAGATGCGTCATGCTGAAACCGTGCCCACCCCATTGCCAGCAGTGGGGAAAAAGTCCTGATATGTTGTGCAACATCACGTGACGTCGCGAGTTTGACATGCCTGGTCTACATCTTCTGGCCTGGAGATCTTGAATGTGAGATCAATAGTCTTTCCCCAAGAGAAGCAAGGGTGGGTAACTGGAGACTATGATAACTATTCTGTGGAGTGTGACTCTTACTAGTTCATTAGGATCTAAAACCACCTTCCTTACATTGTGCAATTAAAATAGCCACAGTGCATTGTCCAACACATCTGCGTGGCATTGAATTTATGGAATGCTAAGGTAGGAAATGTATTGAATGCCTGCTTCAAATGCCCTTGCAAAGAATGATGAACTCTTCAAATAAAATGCACATTTTAACGTTCTTTTTTATGCTAAAACTACTAGGCACTCATCAAAAATTGAGAAACCTTTGCACCACAAAACCTGGTAGTGCATCATGATTTACCCCATAAATCATTTAATTCATATTTAATTTTCATTGTTCAAACCAGCAACTTGAAATGTCAGAACAGAAAATATTTGCTGAATCCCGTGTGACTGGCAGGGGCGGGACAATAGCTTTGTTGTTGTTGCAGGTAACTCAGCATTCTCTGTTTTTTGTTATAAAAGTTCTGAGTCATCTGTTTGTATGCTTGAATTGCTGCAAATTATTATTTTGATCCCAACCTGGCAAGGCTGTGTAAGTTGGCTGAGATATTGGTACCAATTGAGACATTGGCATGAGGTTTGTTGGGATATCATTGCCAAGTAACTGTTTTTTCAGCCTTATTTCAGGGTGAATAATGATGAATACTTTCTTTGCTATTGTGTTTTTTTAAGCAAGACACTAGATGATTAAAGCAGTGGTATAACTGAAGAATAATAATCATTTTATTTAAATAAGGAAATAAATACCATCAAATG